AATAAAATATATAAGGATTTGAAAACTTTTTATTGGTGGCCAGGACTAAAGAAAGACATAGCAAGGTATGTGGAAAAGTGTATGACATGCCAACAAGTAAAGATAGAGCATCAGAGGCCCTATGGAAAACTGCAATCCTTAGAAATTCCTGTTTGGAAATGGGATCATATCACAATGGATTTTGTTATGAAGTTACCCCGAACCTCAAGAGGATGTGATGCTATATGGGTAATAGTGGATCGCCTATCCAAATCTGCGCACTTTCTACCGATAAAAGAGAGTTATTCATTGGAAAAGTTAGCTCAGATTTATATTAAGGAAATTGTGACAAGACATGGAGTTCCACTATCCATCATTTTGGACAGAGATAACAGATTTACATCGAAATTCTGGGAAAGTTTTCAAAAGGCATTAGGATCTCAAATTCGATTAAGCACAACATATCATCCTCAAACAGACGGACAAAGTGAAAGAACAATTCAGACACTTGAAGATATGCTAAGAGCTTGCATCATAGATTTTGAAGGATCATGGGAAGATCATCTTCCATTAATAGAATTTTCATACAATAATAGTTATCATTCCAGCATCAAAGCGGATCCTTATGAAGTGTTGTATGGTCGGAAATGTCGAACCCCTGTATGTTGGAATGAAGTAGGCGAGAAATAATTAACAGGTCCTGAAATTGTGCAAGTAACTTCTGAAAAGATTGATCAAATTCGGGAAAGAATCAAAACAGCTCAAAGTCGTCAGAAAAGCTATGCAGATAAGCGCTGGAAATCAATTGAATTCTACGTAAATGATTTAGTAATGTTGAAAGTTTCTCCCTGGAAAGGAGTTATGAGATTTGGGAAGAGAGGTAAACTCAGTCCAAGATATATTGGTCCATTCAAAATTTATAAACGGGTTGGACCAGTAGCTTATCAATTGGAATTACCAGAGGAACTTAGTTTGATTCACAATACTTTCCATGTGTCAAACCTAAGGAAATGCCTTGCTGATCCTAGTATGGCAATACCACTTCCGGAGATTAAGTTGGATGACAAATTAAATTTTGTAGAAACTCCAGAAGCTATAACCGACCACAAAACCCGTGTGTTAAGAAACAAGGAAATAAGTCTAGTAAGGGTACAGTGGCGATTTCATAAAGGATCAGAAGCAACATAGGAATTGGAATCAGAAATGAAAGAAAAATATCCATGGTTGTTTGAGTGAATTCCGGGACGAAATTCTTTTTAAGGGGGGAAGAATGTTATAACCGGGTCTGTGACAACCTGGGTTGAGGTAAATTATACATGTTTATTATGTGGATTATGTGAAATGTGCATATTTAAGTAGAAATGCATGAAGCATTTATGTGAAACATGAACATGATATCATGCATATTGTGAAAAGATAGCATGACATATATAATTCATACGTGTATGCATGTAGTGTGAAGCATGCATGAGGTGGTGTTTATTGAGTTTAAATATTCGGGTGAAATCATTGTATCCTCATGGTTAAGATATCATGAATTTTATAATGGAAAATCTACCGCCCAAGATTATGTACTTTTGGAATTTTTGGGTTGTGTATTTTATATTCCAAACTCTTGTATCATGGACCTATGTGGGAAAAACATGTATTATATATATGAAAAATATGTGTTATATGCAATATGTGGATTGGGGTGTTACAGTAACTCTGGGTTTGTTATTCAGTTAGTATATGTTGATGATATAGTTATAACTGGAAATAACCTAATGGAAATAAATCATGTCAAAACTTATTTGAAAAATAACTTTTTAATTAAGGATCTTGGCAAGTTGATTTTTTTCTTAGAAATTGAAATTCTTAATTTTGATGGAGGTATATGCATGTCTCAAAGAAAGTATTGTTTGGAATTACTAAATGATTTTGGTTATTTAGGATGCAAACCAATTAATACTCCTATGGACATGAACCTTACTATTATAGATTTTGTGAACTCTTTATCTAGTGATCCTTCCATACATGATTTTACCAGTTATCAAAAACTGATTGGGAGACAAATTTACCTTCTTGCAACTCGGTTTGACATTGCATTTGTTGTTCATTGCTTAAGTCAGTTTATGCATGCACCTCGACAATCTCATCTTAAATTGGCTTTAAGGGTTCTCGTATATTTGAAATCTTCACCAGGAAAGGGAGTGAGTTTTAGCAGGTCAGAATCTTTTCTTTTGTCTACTTATGTTGATGCTGATTGGAGAAAATGTCTTTCTTCAAGAAGGTCTGTTACTGGTTATTGTTTTATTCCTTGGAAAATCTATGGTTTCTTGAAAGAGCAAGAAACAAGATACCGTTTCTCGTTCTTCTGTTGAGTCAGGATATAGAGGTATGACTCTTATTACTTGCGAAGTAGTCTGGGTTCTTAAAGTTTTATCTGATTTAAGAATTAAGAACTTACTCTCAGTAAGTTCATATTGTGATAATAAATCTTCAATAGAAATAGTTTACAATCCTGTGTTTCATGAATGCACTAAACAAATTGAAATTGATGTACATTATATTTGTGAAAGGGTTAGTATTGGAGTGTTAAAGATTGTTAAGATACGCTCAACAGAACAACCAACAAATATTTTCACTAAGTCTCTTAGTGTAAATCAACATACTTACCTATGTTCAAAGTTAATGATGATTGACTTGTATAAATGTCAAGATTGAAGGGGGGGGGGGGTGTTAAATATAGTGTATTGTTGTTCAATCTTGTCATTTATATGTTTTTGGTGTTATTTTATAAGAAATTATGTTGAAAAGGGATTTCTGTAGATTTATGGAATCTTAAAGACTTGAGCTAAAGATGTGAAGATCTGAAGGTCACCGGTGCACATTTGATGAAAGTTCAAGGATCGTTTGTGTATACTTCTAGCTGGGCATTTAAGCTTTTGTTTTCTGTATTGTAGCTATTGTTTTTCTTTCAATCGATTCATTTTTCTTTTTTAGTCTTCTCTCATTATTGTAAAGTCTCTCATCTTCTTGGAGCTCTTAGGGTTTCTGTTTACTTTTCATTCATAAATAAAAGTTTGTTTAGTTTGAACAAATTTATGTACAATTTTCATTTTTAATGCTATAGTTTAAGACGATAAATAATATTTTCAAAATAAAAATCATCAGTTTTTTAGATGTTTAATCATGAACACGAAATTAAAAAAATTTAAAGTAGATTTGGCATAATAGAACCAAAACAAGAAATATTGTATAACTAAAGTGGGCAAGATTATAAACTTTGTTTCAAAAACAAATCAAATTATAAAATAAACCAGATAAAACGATTAAAATTAACGCAATCCAAAATACCTTTAACTATTTACCATTTTGTAAGTTATCCTTGTTCAAAATTTAACGTATATTTTGACAACAATTTCAAAAAGTTATTAGATCAACCTAACTTGAATAATATCAGTTATCAAAGGGCTTTTGACCTGACGGTATGTGAGTCTTTGACCTCTTAGGAGGTCAAGGGTTCAAACCTTATCAAAGATGAGAAGGTATATAAGTTTATTTATTCTATTTGACATATACAAATATTATATACTCTAAAAAATAAAATAATACCAATTTGACTAACCGGTTTACCTTTAAATGCAAATTGGTGATTGCATCTACCATTGACCACCTATAGTGGTATATGGGTAACACGCATGGTCGACATAACATTTCACCTCATGATGAGGAGTGATTTCCATATCTACCAAACAATAACATAGTTGACTATTGGAGAACTTGACTATTGGAGAACTTGACTATTTGTTCACATTTGAGGCTTAGTTGCTGTTTGTTTTTTTTTTTTTTTTTTTTTTTTTTTTTAATACCTCTTAAGTTTGAATCATTTAAATATTTTTATTTTTAAATCATTTGTTTTTTTTCTTTAAAATAAGAGCTTAAATGATGTTTTCTTCATTTGAATTTTCAAGCGATAAACCTATCACTTAATACCTCTTAAATCAACTCTTTCTCGCCGGTCACCCGTCTTCCAATGATCCACGATTCTCCTCACGACCAACACAATACATAATCAAAATCTGAAGGTAACGAAGAAGATTACCATCTCGTGTTGATATCCCAATCTACTCTTCTACGAATCTCATGATAAAATTGTAATCGACGAATTAGATTCAGATTCCATAATACAACTGATTTCAACTCCACCCATCATAAGTAAAACTCTGATTTTTTTTTGTTATTTGACTAAAACCTTGAAAGAAAGAAATACAAATCCATATTGAAACAGAACATTGCTATAACCAATATGACTGATTCAGATTTTAGACTTTAGATGCAAAAACAAATAGTCTGAATAATTCAGATTTTCAGAGACATTTATGTCTTATTTTCCTCTTATCTGATAAGAGGTAAAACCAACATCTTATTTGCCTCTTATTGTTCTTCAAATCCTTAATAATGACGTTTCTCAATCAATTAACCTCAATCGATCCTTACCAAACCAATCGTCACCTCTCTCAGTTAATGTATTTTCCTAGGATGTAAATGTGTTAAGCACCGTTAATGACATATTTTCGTTTAAATGAATGTTAATTATATAATTTAAATGTAAATTTCATCATGATGAATAAATATGCGAAATTGTATAAATTCGTCTATAAATTCAATACTAAATTTTTTAATGGGTAAAATAGACAATTTAAACAAATTCATACGTTTATCAGTTTACAAAAACAAACAGTCTTATTGATTCAAATTTCAGACTTCAACACCACTTCTTATAAATCAGAAATGAAATAAGACTTCAGACTTTAACAACTCTTAAAATACAAACACTATCTTAATGATTGGAGACACATTTTAATTAACATAATATAAAATAAAGTTTAAAGAAAATGTATAAAGTCATTAAAATAATAAAAGCAAATTGCATTATACAATTGCTCACCATGAGTTTTTATTTTTTTGGAAAATAATTCATCACATCTTCATTTATGAAATCAACAAATTTACATAAAAAAAACTCACAATTAATAATTAATTAACAATACACCAATGGATTTCAACAAACCCCAACTAAATTTGACATTTTTCTGATTAACATGAAACCCTAATTAAGAGTTGAAGATTCATGTATATATAGTTGGATGATGGGTGCACATAAGAATATGGTTTTCATAAGTTATGAAGTTCAATCATATGTGCATTAATTCCATAAGTTACAGCAATTCACATGTGAATGAAATCTTAAGTAAAATGGCCATCGGGCAATCCACAAATCGGACTGGCCTCCAGTATTATTGCCTTCATTTTTAACAAAGCTAGGTTGGTTGTAATGATACCATGAAGCAAGATTCATCGGTAAAAGTAACCACCAGCACGTGATCTTGGAAGATAAACGATCGACTCAGCCACCTCACAGGTTCTCTTGCAGGAGGTGTATACGCTAGCGAGCCCAGATCGATCACCTGACCGGCTTTTTGTAACCTTTACGAGCTCATGATCATCATCCTTTGAACACTCCACAAAAGCTGCAAAAAATGGATCTTTGTGGAAGCTGTCACTGGTGCTGTATTTCTTGATGCTTTTTCCAAAGGATTTTCGAGAGGAGTTGCCAGAAGGAGGCAATGGGAGGAGACTGTGTGATGAATCTGTGTGGGTGTTGTTTTTCTTTGGGATTCCGGGGAATTGTTCCCAAGAAAAGGGGATGCCGGAAAAGTAGCGAAGTGGAGTGGCCGGAGGTGGAGAATCGTGGAGGAAGAAGGAGATTGATCCTATCGACGATGAAGAAGTGGAAGAGAAAGACGGGCTCCGGCGGGAGGATCGTCGGACGTCGGTAGAAGTCATGGAGATTTGTGTGTGTGTGTGAGAGAGAGAGAGAGAGAGAGAGAGAGAGCAGCTTCCAGCTTCTATTTTAGTACTACACTCACTCAATTTGGTTTTATTGAGCAAGGTCTCCGTAGTCTTATCTCTCACAGACACATACACACACACTCTCTCTCTCTCTCTCTCTCTCTCTCTCTTTATATATATATATATATATTTCGTACATGTGTGTATGTGGTTTCGTAGAGGGTAGTCACATAGTATATGACTACAAAATTGAGTTTAACATATGACAATAATATGTTTTAATAAAATGTGATATATATATATATATTTTATTAACCTGGATATTCAATCCGTTATCCGAGTCGACTAATCATAGGGCAAACGTCTGCTTTGCAAATAGTCCGGAGTCACCGCATTTGAACCTCCGTGGCTACAAGAAGATTTTTGTTTCTTCTTGGATTTGAACCTTCAGTCACTTTTGACCTTTGGAGTCAAGCTCAAGCCAATTAGACACCACCCTTATGGTTTAAATATTTAAGTTTAGTAGAAGAATATTTGTGTAATGTAGCGAGATATATCTCGATTTTAATATTTTTTTTTATTTTTGGTCTATGTCGATTTTGTGTGGTATTGAAAAATCAATAATGTTTTTATTTTTTTAAACAATAAAAATTTGAAAAAAAAACATATCGATATTAATATCAAATTAAGTATTTTAAAAGTTCTCGTTTTTTTTTCTATCTAATTTCTTTGATTCAAATTTTTAATCATAATTTAATTTAGCTACAATAACGAAGTAATTTAGTTTTCTTTTAAAAATATTCTTTTTGTAAAGATAATAATTAAGTATTATATTAGAACTTAGTGATTATCTTAATTGTATTTTATATTTTTATATTTAAAATAAAATATTTATACTATATTTGATTATGTTTATCTGAAATTAGTTACATAAATTCAAACATGAAGCTTTAATAAATTATACTTACACAAATTTTTTTTGTAATCATGAATTTATAGTAATATGCATCAATAAACAATACTTCATACATTAAAAATTATTTTTAAGAGTTTTTATCAAATGTTTTATAATACAGTATAAATGAAACTAAGAATAATTAATTTTATCTAAAACTGTTACAATAAATTTTAAAATAAAATGTCTAATTAACTTTTTTAGTACGCTTATGAAATAAAATAGAATCACATGATGGTGTAGGTTTGGATATCGAGTCATGAATATCAATAAAATTCATTGTCGAATTCATTGTCTTAATATATGTTGCATGGTATATATAAACATAAAGATAACCTTAGAATATTGCATACTTAAATGTTTTAGGCCTAAATATTGCTATAGGCTTGGGTTGTAATAATATGGTGAGACTAGTGTATATAGGACTCATATGGTTGATATGAAGTTCAGATGTGGGTATAGGTTAGTGAAGTTTTATACATGATAAATCAACAATGAAAACACTAGTTAAGTGTCATAAGTGTTTCTCATGTGTTCATAATATAACAATGTCTTTGACTTGGTGATTTTGAAGTATATTATGGTTATCTCATATGCATACATTGATGCCACCTTTAACCACATCGCAGTTGAGTATGAAAATAGTTGTTAGGTTTATGATGATACCATATAGTAAGACGTGCATATTAAATATAGGATTTGTACTGTTGAAATAGTGATATAATACACACATACATCATAGAGGCTTATGAGATCTCGAAATGTCAGCTAAGGTTGCGCCCTATAGGTCGCGGGGTATCCAGGAGCTCTCGTACATGTGTCGCAAGCTAGGTGCATTTGGATGCAAGTTTGAGGGTCGACGCTTGCCAGGACTGTCTATGAGACCCTAGGTTGCGTAGGGGGTACAAACGTGATTTAATCTACCTAGGTCACATATGAGGTACAGACGTTGTTGCTTCTTCTATTACAACGATTAACATGCGTAAAGGTAAACGATTGAGTTTACCTTGTGTTTCTTGCATCATTGTCAAAGGTAAACTCTATTGTAGTTGTTTCTTCATTTGATCATCAATATAAGAGCCCCTTTTATTCTTGTGGATGTACACTATCTCACAATAGTGGAACCATGTCGACTCGTTGTGTCCTTTAGAACCCTTGAGAAAATGTGATTGAAAGAAAATGCATACATGCTCTAAATTTCAGATTTGTGATATTGGGAACTATCACTTGATTTATCTGGTCATTCATAGGTCAATAAACTATATATTGAACTTAACGAAATCGACACAAACCACGTCTTGTGTTCAATGTGGGCATCTAGTACAAAAGGATATGGTTATATGTTTTGATAATAAAGTGGACTAATGATTTCTTGGTGAAACACCTCATATCACACATTGCATGTAACATATACTTCATACGAAAGAAATACATGTTTATACATCACTTAGATCCCACAGTACAAGAATCTACCAGTATAAAATACATGGCTCAAAAATTCAAAATACATTTCTTGTACTAATCAACGTTCATCAACCAAAACTATACATCACAGACAAATCTTCATGTAAATATGCTATTAGGAAAATATCACATTTTCCTCTTCCCATTACCTTCCGTACCACCTGCAATACATATTTAAAATCACAAAACGACGGTTAGACCGAAAGTTCTAGTGAGTTACCCTATTTATGTTATTGCAGGGTGAAATCACCAAAACTTTGTATAAGAATAACCTTTTCATATATATAACAAATATATGAACAAGTAGGAACATAATACCAGTGCCTTTCCACTTTTCAATGCCAAGTATTCAGATTATTCAAATAACATACCTTTGAACCAACTAGGTATCATATAATGCCACTTTTAAACCTTTTCTAATCAACAAGGTTTATTTAAAGTTTCAGCCAAACCTGTTATTTTCTTCTCAATAACATCCAGACTATGATTTCCAATAAGAACCTTGATCCTAAATCTTTAAATCACAAAGAAATAAAGATTCCAGACCACGGTAGTCTTAAGAGATATAATAGAAAGTGTTATATCATACAACATATACAAATGTCATCCTTATATCCAAATGTACACCTCTCCTTGATACGCCACCTTTATCCCATGGTACACCTCTCCTTGATATGCCACCCCTATCCCATGGTACACCTCTCTTTGATATGCCACCCTTATTTTCTCATCAAAACATTTCACAAAAATAATTCCAAATAGACCGCAGTCAAATGGAATTATTATCAGTTCAGAATTATCTTTATCAAAATTCCCATTTTATGAATAATAACAATTTTTATCAATCATGCACAAGGCATAATACAATTCCGGTCAACATAGACTTGGCCGGACTTCATCTCCGGTCAAGTCTTGGCCGGTTTACCAAATCCGGACAACATATTGCCCTAAGGCTTGTCCGATTTAATACCTAGAATAAATTCCAACACCTTTGTCCGGATAACAAATCCGGACAATACATCCCCCAAAGCTTAACCGATTTAAAAATAATCTGGTCATCAGATGGCCATATTCATACTTCTCCATTTAAAATGTTTAACTAGTTCAATCTTATAAATCGTTCAACACTTGACTGGTTTAAGGCTAATCCGCTTATGCCTTGACCGGCTTAAAGTTTAAGTCTCCCAACCCTTGTTCGGTTTAAGAATAATCCGGACAAACTTTGTCCGATTTAGACTTAATCCGGTCAGCCTTTGTCCGGATAAAACCCTTGAGTAAATAACTGATTTCTTCCAATTAATAAACAACATTTAATAAAACTAGTATAAATTTTATGAAAGAGGTTTAGGAATCACTCACCTTATTAAGCCTTTTGAAAACAACTTTCTTGTAATGCAAAAGTAAGAAAATCCGGGCAAGTCTTTCCCATCTAAATCGCTCAAATTATCAAAATAGCCAAGAAGATGAAATTGGGGGTCAAACCCTCCTTTTATACCTTTCCTTAACATGAAAGTTGGCCACATGCACACACATACACACCATGCATTCATACTCATACACATAATATGCATGTATGCTCATGTATAAATATTCACATACATATCATATTATACATGTATTTCACTTTGACTTACCACATACACATAATTTTATACATGCATCTACATTATGCACATAATTTTCACACACTAGCATGATCAAATAAAACAAATTTATCATGCTATCACGTAATCACTTATCAAATAATCACACACATTAATTGCCTTGGGTGATAACCAGGATATAGTTATCACATTATCCACCCCTCAAAAGAATTCCATCTCGGAATTCCTTTAATCAAAAAGCCATGGGTACTCTGATCTCATCTTTGACTCCAATTCCCATATTGTTTCTGGTCCTTTGTGAAACTTCCACTGAACCTTAACCAGACTTACCTTTTTGTTTCTCAACACCCTGATCTTTCGGTCAATTACGGCTTCTAGTGTTTCACAAAGTTTAGCTTACTGTCTAATTTAATCTCTAGCATCGGTACAACTAAACTTGGATCAGCCAAACATTTCCGCGGATTCGACACATGAAAAGTGTTGTGAATCAGACTCAGTTCTTCTGGCAGCTCTAACTGATATGCTACTGGCCCAATTCGCTTACATATTCTGAATGGTCCCACATACCTCGGACTGAGCTTATATTTCTTTCCAAATCTAACGATACCCTTCCACGGCGAAACTTTCAGCATCACAAAATCACCTACACAAAATTTGATCGGCTTTCGACGATTATCTGCATAACTTTTCTGGCGATCTTGTGCTATGTTGATTCTTTCACGGATCTGTTCGATCTTTTCAGAAGTTTCTTGGACAATTTCAGGACCCGTCAATTGTATTTCACCCACCTCATTCCAACACAACGGCGTTTGGCATTTACGTCCATACAACACTTCATACGGTGCCGCTTGGATGCTGGAATGGTAACTGTTGTTATATACAAACTCTATTAACGACAAATGATCTTCCCATGATCCCCCGAAATCAATAATACAACTTCTTAACATGTCTTCGAGAGTCTGGATAGTTCTTTCACTCTGCCCATCAGTCTCTGGATGATAAGCTGTACTTAGTCAAATTTCAGACCCCAAAGCTTTATGCAATCCTTCCCAGAACT